TGACGTCGAGTTACTTTTCCCTTCACTTTCGTTTTCGCGATCTTTGCCCCAACCAACCAAAGGGCGAACTTTTGCGACAACCACAGCACACCCCTTCCCGAATAGTTGGTGAGGGGGGAGCAGCAGCATTTCCCCCCATCCCCAACAAAAATGGCGCGAAAAAGGGCTGTGTGATCTGTGGAAATGGCACCGCCCAAGGGCTCCTCCAAATTCCGTACTGAATTGGTGGGTGAAGACTCAAGCGCTGAGATTGAGAGGAGAGGGGGAAGAGAGGAGAAAGAGTGGAGGACAAGTTATGCTGGCAAGAATCGAAGTTAGGTCAAGTTGTAGTCTGGTGTGCAGAACTACGGCCATAAAGTCGGTCTCTAACACTATCTACTTTCTAAAAGAGCATCTCCCCGACTGTTTGTTCTCACGCATTGTTATCCACGCACCAAGGCTAGCCCAATGCGCATTTGCGACAATGGTAACATGACTAACCTTTTCGCCATGTCTAGCTCTCTCGCGCCAATGTCCGTCTAGCCTTCCACTCAATTCAACATTTTGCATAAATCTTAATCGCGACTTACAGAAATGGCCCACAGGTTTGGCTCAAATCGTTTAGAGAGGCGAAACAGTATCCCCGATGGCTCGGACCCATGCGCGGGCGACGGCAGCGGGCAGGGGCGCTACGGGCAGGGGGAAGTCGGCTGGTGCGGCTCCCTATTTTCGCGCGCACCCAAGCGCAGCGGACCTTCGGGCCGCTTGCGCGGGTTCACATGGGACCCGTGGCGGAGTGATTCAGGGAGCGGCGGCGGCGGCGGCGGCGGAAGTGGCTGGGGATGGGGAAGCGGAGGCGATGGCAGCATGTCACCGCGTTCTCCGCGCACTCCGCGCACTCCGCGCTCCCCGCGAGCGCCGATAACGCCTCGCCGACGCCGGCACGATGGGAGTTACCGACCCAGCACGCCGTCCCACCGTCCTGGCTCTCCTTATAAGAACGCGCCGCCGTATTTCCTCGGCGGACAACCCCTCGCCTCCGTGGCCGCCTCTGGATCGTACGATCCTACTAACGGGGGATCCCTTGACGGGAACAGCGGCGGGTTTTGGGGAGGCGGTCCGGCGCTGAGCGCGTCCCGGCGGGCGGCGCGGCAGCAGGGAGGCGGCAGAGACGGCGGCAAGGGCGGAGCAGGGGGTTTCCTGGTGATGAGCGATTGGCTGACGTGTTCGTTACAGTCCCTGCTACAGTCGCGTATGGAGCAGTTGCACGCGTCGGAGCAGGTGAGCCGGCGGCAGCTGATGGCGGAAACTGCGGAGATGGTTCTCAACGTGCTCGACGCGCGTTCCTCCGACGACGCGCTCGCGCACCGCTCCGAAGTCTCCGCGCTGCGGCGCCTCCAGCGGGAGTCGTTTAGCGACCTGTTGCACCTACGCGACCGCCTCACGCGGCTCGAGCTTCTCGCCGACGAGTTCTCCCTCGGCCAGCACCGCGTCGCGCCCGCCGCCTTCCTCGCCGCGAACTCCGGGCGCACCGAGGTCTCGGGCCGCATAACGGTCGGGTCCGCGCTCGTCCCGACGGGCGGCCTCCGCTCGCACCGCTCCCGAGCCGCGATGGAAGCGGCGGGGCTGCGCTCCGGCGTGCAGATGGCTTTAAATCTCGCGTCCCTCTGCCGGTCGTCGGACCGCCTTAGTACAGTTCTAGGAGTCGGGCCGCCTGACCCGCTAGGCCCAGCGTTAGCGCTAGGCGGCCCGGTGGTGCTGCAGAAGGCGGTGTATCGGGCGCAGGTGGCGGAAGGGTTGGCGGTGACCGCCGCGCCGATGGGCGCAAGCGGAGCGGACCTGGTGGGGGAAGGCTCCGCAGGGGCGGGAGTGCGCGGGGACAGCGCAGCGGCTCAGGTACGCGGATTAGCGGCCAAATAATACTGTCAACTACGACAATATTATTTATTTGTTATCGTTCTCACGTCCTTCTTTATCCCTCGTTTCTCGAAAATATTTTTGTCCTTATTTCTTCCTGCTTCCTCACTGCCCTTGTCTGAACCAAGCCTCTTCCATTTCCCGCTTTTCCTGCTCCTTCCGCTCTTCCCATTGGGTGCACATCCGATGCAGCCACGTGGCCTCACCACGTTCAGCAGCGGCACCATCCCTCTCCTCCAATCCATCCGCGGTTCCGCACTCGCGGTAACCGTTGACACGCCCGTCCCCGCGCTTTCTCCCTTCCTGCCCGCGGTCTCCCGCGCGCTTTCCGCCATTCCCCGCGCGCTTCCTCCATCCATCACCCGCGCCCTGGGCCTCGGCTCCGCGCGCCATTCCCCGTACACCCCCCTCCGCTCCTCCGCCTCCCGCTCCGCTTCCGCGGATCCTCCCGCGCTGTCGTTTACCGCAGGGAAGCTAGTCGCGGGCTGGGGGGTTCCGCTGGAAGACCCATCCGCGCTCGCCGCCGCCGCGGCAGACACTGCGCTCTGTACCTCCGCGATGGGGCATCTTGCGCTCCGCTTTTCCCCCTCCCTGCGCGTTTCCGCCGCCGCCGCGTCGCACTCGTGGCCCGCGCCGCCCGCGCCGTCCTTCCCCGGACTGCACTGGTCGGAAATGGGCCCGCTGGTGCTTCCGCGCTTGGGGGGAATCTTCCGCAGCCCGCACCCGCGCGGGGGGGGCGCGAGGGGAGGAATGCATGTGGCGGCGGAAGCGGGGTCGACGACAGAGGGAGGAGCGATGGGCGGAAGGTTCGGGGGAAGCGGAGCGGGCGCAGAGTCCCCCCGAAGTTGCGCCAGTGGGGGAGTGGATAGAATAGTAGTGGAAAGTATGAGGTCCGGGGGCGGGGGTGGAAGCGGAGGCGGGGGAAGGGGAAGCGGGGGCATGGGTGGTATAGGGGGAAGCGGGAACGTGCTAGAGGGCGCGGGTGACAGTATTGATGCCACGAGCGCGTGGCTGATGGACATGGGTGACTATAACGAGAGCAGACCAGAGTCTTTCGGCGTGGCGCTGGCGTTTGAGAAGGAGTTACAGGGGGGGACAACTGTTTCCGCGTGGGCGCAGCGGTCTAGGTGGGCGGGGGAGTTTGGGGGAGTGGCGGCAGGGGGAGGGGGAAGGGGAGGCGGACGGGGGGGAGAGGAGGCGGAAGATGAGGGGTTTTTGGGGAGATTGGGCGCGGATTGGCAGTGGGCGGTGGCGGTAACGGGGAGGGCAGCAGGGGAAGGGGAGGAGGAGGGGAGAGTAAGTGGCGGGGGGAAAAGGGAGAGTGGAAAAGGAGGGGGAGGGGAAGAAGGAGGGGTGAGAGCAGCGAGGGTAGTTGGGTACAGGGTGAGCGTCGGGCAGGGGGTACCGGAGGGTGGTTTACCCCCGGATTTGGTGGAGAGCAGTGAGGTGTCGATAGGGGGAGGGGGGAAGGGGGGCGGGGCGCGGAGGCTGTGGCAGGGGGAGGGGAGTGTGGTGGTGGACTGTGGTGGCGGAGTGGTGCTGGAGCCAGGGGTGGTGATTGCAGGGAATGGCGAGCTGGGCGTTCATACTGCCTTCATGCTCCGGACAACGCTCAACATCTGATCCTTGTCTCTTGGTTCAGGGGGGCAAGGGGTAAGGGGAAAGGGGGGTGGCGGGGCGCGCAGGCTATGGCAGGGGGAGGGGAGTGTGGTGGTGGACTGTGGAGGCGGAGTGGTGCTGGAGCCAGGGGTGGTGATTGCAGGGAACAGGGAGCTGGGCGTTCACACTGCCTTCATGCTTCGAACCACGCTCAACATCTAGACTGCGTCTCTTGGGAATTGATTATGACCACTCACATTTATGACTGCGTCTGTGTGGGATGGGGGAGCCGGGAGTAGTTGTTGTGCTGCATACAACACTCACCAGTTAAAGGGAGGGGGGGGGGGGGGGGGGGGGGGGTGTGGTGGTGGATTGCAGGGGCGGAGTGGTGCTGGAAGCACCAGGGGTGGGGATTGCGGGGGATAGGGACCAAGGCGCACTGCCTTCATGTTTCAATCGACTCTCAACATCTAGATTATGTTCCACTATTGCGAGGCTGGAGAAGCGGAGCAAGTTGGAATGGAGGTTGCGAAGGAGGTTCGGAAGGAGGTCTGGAAGGAGGTCTGGAAGGAGGTTCGGAAGGATGACTGGGTCGTTTGGTGTTCAACACAGACGCATGAACGTCTGTTAGCAACGGCATTGTTGGTGCAGAGGGGATCAGCATGGATTGCAGCTCCACTGACCACTGACTGGGGGTTGACCAGGGGTTGACCAGGGGAATGACTGGGGTCAACCTCGGGGTGCTTTAGGAAGGAAATCGTTGATGTCAGCCGTTGAGAAGGGGGGGGAGGAAGAAGGGGGGGGGGGGGGGGAGAGGGGAGGGGGGGTTGGGGTGGTCACTGCTATCAGTTCAGCGGACTGACCAACAGGCAGACACGGTGTTCTGCCTGCCAGGAATTGCTGTAGGAGCTCCCTAGAAGTTGGGCTGACATAAATCGACCACGGTTTTACCTCTGGCAATGATCAAGAGGTTGGGAAGTGAGTGGGGAGAGAAGGCTTTTGGGCAGTTTTGGAAGATGATGTGGCCAGTTCAGGGAAGGGGGCAATAAAGGCTGAAACGGTTGAGTTAGGAGGGTGGCAGGCTAGGTGCACGGAAGGAAGGGGCGGTGCGGGATGGTATCACACCACTCAACTGTTGAGTGGGTGAGGACTGCTGATCACACCACTCAATTGTTAGGACCTGTTGTTACTTGCTGACGTGAATACAAAGCATGCCACCGTATAAAGGAGCCTCTAATGTCCTCCTACCTCCAGAAGAAGTGCACTGATGGTTCTTCTTGCGGCTGTCAAATCTCGCTCATTGAATAGCTCTCTTGATGGATGGAACATTACAAAAGCATTCACAATACAGCCTGATGTACCACTACAGGTACAGACTGTACCGTACAGTACTACCTAGCTGCACGTATTTACAATAGCAGCTGCCTGCATGAGTGGTGCTTCTGGAATGTTCCCCCACCACCACCACCACCACCATCTGTCTTTCACAAACTTTAACGCTAAAGTCACACCCTCCCACCAATCATCCTCCCTGAGAGCGACCCGTCAGCGCCGGAGAATCCGAGGAACAGGTCAGCATTGGTGATCCCTTGGATCGACGCCAGCACATCCGCCACGTCAGCAGCTGATGCCCGCACGACATTGGCCAACGACCACGACACAGGGCTCATGGGCACCCACGTGCCAGGCAGGGCCAGGGCTGTTGAAGCAGCAGCGGTGCCGCAGGCGCTGCCCTTGACAATGGCCTGCGAGTCCGGGGCCTTGGTCACTCCTGCTACGTACAGGTAGTATGTGATCATGTAGTCCGAGCCACTGCATTGGGGGAAACGAATGGCAGCAGAGGGGAGGAATGGGAGAGAGAGGGTGTGAGTTAAAGGAAGTTTGCACTTGTATTGACAACACTTGCTAGGGAGCGGTGGAGAGCCAAAATGCTATGAGAAGGTCAGGTGGGGAGATGGACTGCTGGATGGTGGGTGGGTTAACACGATTCAACACGAGTCAGCACGAGTCAATGAGTGACTCACATCTTGAGGATCTGAATGTCAGCAGCGCCGGCCTGGAGAGACAGCAGGCCGTTGCATGATGTGAGCACGGCACGCAGCATGCCCGCCTGCTGGGGAAGAAGACTCAACGCGCCATTCAAATCGCCGTTCAGAGCGCCATTGAGAGAGCCATGGAGTGCATCATTCAAGGCGCTGTTTAGAGCATTCACCATCCCGGCGAGCGCGGACACGTTCACGTTGAGCCCCGCCACTCGCTGCGTCACTGCCGCCAGCCGCTGCCTCACCGCCGCGCGGATCGCCGCGCTCCCACTCGCCCCGGCTGCTGGACGAATTGCACCGGCCAAGCCTGCGCCCAAGCCCGAGCCCGAGCCTCCGCGCGAGCCGATTATCCCTGCCAGGTCCTTGTTCAGAGCGGCGATTCTGCTGCTGATCGAGGAGATGTTGGATCGAATCCCGGAGATCTGGGAAATCAGATCTGTGACGTTCAAATCCGATCCTGAGATGTTCAGCGCGTTCAGATTGACGAGGCTCTCGTTTAACGCAGCGAGGTTGGCTTTTAGCGCGGATATCTGCGCCTGGAGCGCGTCGTTAGCAGCTGACGCGTTGTTTCTGAGGGCAGCCGAGATTTGCGCGAGCGATTTCTTGAGAAGCGCGTCGAGAGACGTGATCTGGCCGTTGAGGGACGACTGGAGGCCCGAGAGTGTTGAGTTGAGCGCCGCCGCGGGGTTGCTGCTGCTGGCTGCTGCGGCTGCCGTCGCGACGGCTGAATTCAAGCCGGGTGGAAAACGGTTGGTGGGTAAAGAGCCGGCGCTGGGGAGAAAACGGCCTGCTTCGACTCGTTGTGTTGCCAAAAACACTGAAAACAATGGAAACAGAAGAGAGATGAATTTCAAAGAACGTAATGGAACTGAAATCACTACGTAATGGAGATGGTTTCATGTTTAACGCGTGAAGTGATGGTGCTCGGTGCTAACAAGCACGTCGTGGTGAATTGGCTCACCTGTGAGAAGCAGAGCGACCAGCGTGGAAGGAGTGGAAGGAGCTGAGTTGCGTGCCATGAAGCTGAGGTACTAGTAGTAGTAAAGACGAAAACAGCGCCGAGTTGAAGATTGATTGCAAGCTGGTAAGAGAGCTCAGACTGGCAACTGTTCTCTTAGAAAACAAGATCGGAACTGGAATCGCGGTGATCAGTGAGTGCGAAGAAATGGCAACGAAGAGGCGTAGTTAATTTGTGCTGGAGATGCTGGTTTGAGTTGATGGCCAAATGCTCACTGGTGATCGATTTCTATATTTGTATGTTCCTCACGGACGAATTGGGACTCTTGAATCTGGAAATTTCGGGAATTTCAGCGCGGACCGCAGATTGTGTGCATGTGATTGGTTTACTTCCTCTCATCGAGTCGCACGCGGAGTGGCTGGGGGTGCGGTGGTGGTACAGGGGTAGGGTGGTGACGGAAAGAGCGGTGTCGGAGGAGGCTGGTACGGTGCTGCTGACGGAAAGAGCGGTTGGTTCTTTGACGGAGCATGAATACGGTGGAACTGAAAATACAGGAAGGATGGTCACCGAGGGTGGATTTGTACGGTGTGGTCCTTCGATTGAAGCTGGTGAGCTGTACGAGTGTACACTCATCACCCGTGAAACGATATTCTTTACTAGATATCAAAACATGCAGTTCATGGATGTTGCCCAAACTCACCTACATAAACTCCTCATTACAAAAAGAACGTCTATTATCATAAGGCCATACAGTTACATTAGAAGGCAAATATACAAAGACGAGAGATAGTCTTCCTACGGGCTAAAATCAATGCTCAACACTGCAAAACATAGAAGCCCTATATCCACCAGGCTTATTCAACAAGTGGTGGAGATATGCAGCAGATTCTTCATCAGCTTCTTGTAGGACCATGCACCAAAGCATTCCCGCCCGCTGGCCCTTCTCGGAATGGCGAAGACCAACGCCATGATGCATGCCCTATTTGAGGCAACTCCCTGAAAACCACCCACACGCAGTCTCCATACAATACCACCATCCTTCTGAACCTGTTCCTCTTTCCACGCACACAGCTGCTTCTCCTCCATGAACCATTACGTAAGCACCCTCCTCTAAACTCAAAATCACGCTAAAATCTGCCAGTAGCACTCTTTGAAATGCTTAGGGCGCTCTTTGAAGATTCAGGCTGTTCACTTTCTCAACAAACGCAACGGCGGCGGCATTGACCTCCTCTGCCCTCCGCGTCACAACCGCCATTTGCCGCAACAACCGCTGCCTCACCAACTCGGCGCGCACACCAGCTGCTGCGCTTCTCGGAACCGTCCCACGTGCAAAAACCCCTGCGCGTCGACCTCGCAAGTTGTGTATACTCGCTGCCAGTCTAAGATCCCTGTTTAAAGCGCGGATACTCGACTGCAAACCCGAAATGCTGGATTCTAGCTCCAAAAGCTGCGAGGCTAACGACAACGGCGCCGCTGCTGCCGCCTTCCCTGAACGCGCATGGTCCGTTGCCTCAGTCGAAGTGAAGTTAATGCTGTTGAGCCAGTCGGAGAAATTAGCGAGGCTGGCTTCAAACGAGGATACGTGGTCTTGGATGGCGGCCGTAGTAGCGGATGTGCTGCTGTTGATGCTCTTTTCGAGATTCGCAACTTGCTTCGTTATGTATGAGTCGAAAGAGGAAACGGAAGTGTTGAGATTCGCGGTGAGTCTCTTGGCGGCTGCTTCGGTGGCGCTAGCTGCTGCAGCGGCTTTGGCGGCGGCTGCTTCTGCTGCTGCTACTGCGCCTGCCTTGACTTTGTTACAAAAGTCGTCAGTGGGAAGAAAATAGCAAAAAGCCTCGGTTTCCGACGCGAAGTACACTGCAGTGAAACGAGAATCCAGGCAAACAACGAAGGGAAAGATTTGTCGGATAGTACAATAGAAGATGGTTCCAAGGAAGGAAAGCAGCGGCAAGCGGCAGCGGCCCAAGGGTCAGGGTCAGGGTTCCAAGGGATCTCACCTGTGACGAGGAGTGTGATGAGGGTTAACGATGCGGGGGATGTTTTACGCGCCATTTCCGGACTTGTGCGGTGCGCATGACTCAACGGATATCGTACGGAACGGTAGTTACGAAACGTGCTAGTTACTGAGGCACGCAAGATTAGTCAGGCGACGCGCCAAGTTACTAAGAAAATCAGGGACGAGGAAGGAGTTTGATTCAGAAAATCACTGTGCTTTGTACAATACAGAAACGCACTGTACGTGTGCCACCTAGCGCATGATGCAACAAGGACTGTTTCGAGGTGCAGATTGATCTGAAGAGGTTGTCGGGGTTTGGGTAGCGTTTTGATTCAGGCACAATGTCGGCGCTACACACCAGCTTTTGAAGGGTTCTGTGCTGTGTGCCATGTCAAGCGAACACCTGCACTGTACCGTGGGAGAAGATCGAACTGGGGCCGGAGGTCCTTGTGTCATGTGAGGTGTCCTCCAGCCAACGCACACACGCACAATTTCACATGATGTGGAGGTGATGTTCAGAAAGGGGCACTTCGACATAATGTACACCTTCTCATAGGGAACTCCAGAGCAATTTGTAAGCATATTGCTGCATTCATTTTGATAAGCAGTAAGAAACTTCTATCTCAAATGTCATTGGCAAAACGCCCCCAATCAAAATTCTCCTAGACTTGCGTATGAACATTTTCTACCGCACTGGTTGGAACATGTCAGATGCATCATTTCAGGTTACTAATGAGATGAAGCATCTAAAATGTTCCTCCCATGACCCTCCTTTATAATTTTTGCCCAATCATCTTCCCTGAGAGTGCTCCATCAGCCCCAAAGAACCCCACATATAGCCTGTCATTGGTGACCGTCTGAAGAGATGCCAACAGATCCGCCACGTCAGCAGCTGACGCCCTCACAACATTCACCAGCGACCAGGTCGCTGGGCTCATAGGCACCCACGTGCCAGGGAGGGTGAGGGGTACAGTGGTAACAGCGTTGCAAGGGTTGCCCTTGAAAATGGCCTGAGAGTCTGGCGCCTTGGTCACTCCTGCTACGTAGAAGTAGTATGTGATCATGTAGTCCGAGCCACTGCATGGGAGGAGTTCACAGGCAACCGAGAGGTAAGGAAGGGATGAGATAGTGCGGTTTGAACCAGCATTGACAGCACTTGCAAGAGGAAAACGATGGGAAAACGAAGTGCAAGGAGAAAGCCTGGTAGGGAGAGGGAAATGTTGGATGATGCGGTCAAAACGAGTCAACACGAGTCAACGCGAGTGACTCACATCTTGAGGATCTGGATGTCAGCAGCGCCGGCCTGGAGGGACAGCAGCCCGTTGCATGACGTCAGCACGGCACGCAGCATGCCTGCCTGCTGGGGAAGAAGATTCGCGACATTCCCCACCACGCTGCCGTCCACACCGCCACCAAGGACCCCGTTCACGCCGTTAGCAACCCCGCTAGCAACAACGTTCACCATCCCCGCGAGCGCGTTGACGTTTCCGTTGATACCCGCGAGTCGCTGCGTCAGATCCGCCACCTGCCTCGCCAGCTCCGCGGCACGCTCGCCAACTGCCGCGCTTGGCGAAACCTTCTCACCGAGCACAGCTTGCGCCCCCGCGGACCCCGTTGTCGCGAAGCCCGCGAGGTTCTTCGCGAGCTCGTTGATGCTCGTCTTCAATCCCTCGGCAGACAGCTTCGATTCGAGCGACGAAAGTGGAGACTTCAAGGCCGTCAGCAGCGGCGGTAATGAAGAATCTGACGCCATAAGCTCCTCCGATGAGATATTCGCTCTGGCGAACGTGAAGTTGAGGTGCGCAAGGCTGTCGCTGAGCGCAGCGAGGCTGGAATTTAACGCGGCTGCCTGCGCCTGCAGCGCGGACGCGCTGCTGTTGAGGCTCGAGACGAGCTGATCGATGCTTCCCGTGAGAGTCGTCACAAAGTCAGTGATGGAGGAGTTGAGGGACGACACGAAGTCGGAAATGCTGGAGTTGAGAGATGCAGGGCTAGCGTTTATGCTTGCGGCTGCTGCGGCGGCTGCTTTTGCTGCGGCGGCTGCTTTTGCTGCGGCGGCTGATTTTGCTGCGGCTGCGGCAGCTGCTGAAGCTGCGGCGGCTGCTTTGGCGGCCGCTGCGGAAGGTTTGAGGTTAGCCGGAAGGCGGTTGGCGGGAAGAAACCCTGCTTCAATGCCTTGAGCGAAGAGAACTGCACAATATAAGCACGAGCGGTTAGGATCCGTGAAAGGTTGAAAAGGGAGTTTTGAGCTTGCAAAGCGTCCAAGTAAGAGTGTATGAGTCCAAAGTATCTTTCTCACCTGTGAAGAGGAGTGCTATGAGGGTCACAGCAGTAGCCACACTACGAGCCATTATTTTCTGAGTAGAGAGACGCGATGCGATAACTGCGAACTAGCTAACACAGGCCTTCGAGAAGCTGATGTGTGAAAGAATGCTGGCTTGCGGGAGCACGGAAGGTGAAGCAGAGAGAACTGGATTGAGTGAGTTTGACAAGTTCAGCTGTCGATGTCACAAATGGTGGTTGCAGCTGAATTTATATGTTCGGGTGAGGACTCCTCACTGAGGAGGGCTGGCTGGCTTGCTTGGCAATTGGGAAGGGGAGGGAATTTCCGGTGCGAACCGTGGATTGCTTGCGACCTATTGGCTGAAATGTTCCGCCGAGGCGCACGCGGAGTTACACGCCGACAGGAGGAGGTTGGGGTGGGACATGGCGGAGCGTGAACGGCGCTAGATGGACAAGTTTCCACCGAGAGGAGAAATCCGACAAGGATACACGGTGTTTCGATTGAATCTTGATACTGTTGGTTATACTGATTGAATGGGTTCCAAATTGTTGATATAATTCGTTTAAAATGACGTAGTACGGAGTTATGCAAGGGAGCTGAAGCAATTCAAGGACGACATAAACATGTTGTGGACAATCGAGCCGTCAGATAGATTACGTCTTCAGCTTCCAGAAAGTAAGTACCGTTCATAGCACTAGACATGAAAGACATCCGAAAGACCCCTAGCGTCAGGATATAGCACTGAGACAAAGCCTAGATAATCATGGCTAAAATATACATACTTACACTTGCTACAAAAACAGGGTGTCAAATCTAGCTAGTTGTTCAACCATGCCTGCTCCAACTGCTTGTGCACGGAAGCGCCAAAGCACTTGGCTCTTGTAATGGAAAACCGTGTCGCAGATAGCGATGAAGCCGCCGAGCAGCGTGTTGTCTTCAGTATGTAACAGGCATGCCGGTGGCTGGCTCTTCCCAACACCACCAACCCCCACACGTTCGTCTGGCAAGGATTAGACGGCGGTGCCGACTCTTCTAGCTCTCCCGACAACTCCTGACCATATCTCTTGGAAAGATCGCTCTCATCGAGCCGGTGAACCAAAATGAGACCATCTGGATCGTCGTTCTGGACTGCTTGTCTTACGGACGACCAGCTGTCAGCGTGCTCCACAATACCCTGTGGTAGCCGTTGTCGAACAGGAGATCGGAAGCCACGGACGCCGTCGAATATGAGGTGGAAAAAAGGTGCCTCGTCAAGATGTCGAATAATCTGGAAGAGAGAAATAAAAGAATCCTGACGGTTAGTTTCAGTTTCTTCAACATTGATGTGGAATCCAAATATACCCAACGAGGAAACCAGCATACATGATCACGAAAATCAGGAATCTCGTGGAACTTACATCAGCAGCGGAGTGTTGAAGCCATGATTCAATCTTCTGTTGCGTCACAGCTGGGGAAACCATGGAAGGGTCAGTCCAACTCTCAACTTGATCCGAGCCGCTTGAGCTTTGATAAGCCAACACGGACGGACTCTCCATTCGCACTTCAGGCTGCTTCCTACCCCTTGGCGGAGCCTCTAATACAGGCGCGGACAGGCCTTTTTTTGACTGAAAAGACACGCTTGAGAGTTTGCGTGATCTTGATGCTGAGCTTTTCGCTCCGACTAGGAACGAGGATTGAGGTAGGGTAGCGGTAGCGGCCATGGCTCCCGGTTCTGGTAACTGCGTCCTAAGAAGCCTGGTCAACGGAACAAAGCGTGAGTGGAGTAGCAGGTGGATCTAAGTAAATTGGTACGAAGGGAACAACGGAGGCCAACCTCTTATCTATCCAAGGAGCACTGCAACCTGAATCTTGAAATGGCTTTCCTGCAAACCCTAGGAGCCTGACCATACCTCTCAACTCTCCAGCCTCCATTGCTTCCCACAGCGGCGGAATGGCCTCAGCGCTGGGACCACACCACAGCAGAGAAGCCATGAAGCAAAAACGTTGCAGGAAGCTTGACAGGGTGAGGAGATGAAATGGGGCTCTCTAGAAACACGTTTAGGGCACACCTTGAAGGTGTGTTTGAAGGACAAGAAGCAGGCTCAAAGCAATGTTCCCGCCAAAGCGAATAATTTGCAGCGAGTTACAGCGAGCCAGGTCAGCCTATACTTGCTGAAGTGTCGCGGTCTACAAAGCAAGACCACGTGCCATTGAGGTGGAGCCAGTGTCTGGCACGAGCACCTAGCGAGTCTGGGTTGAGATTTTTGCGCGCATGGCGGAGCAGAAGGCCGTCGGGGATATCCGTGGCGGACTGCGGTTGTTGGGGGGACACTTCGGTGGTGGCATATGCGCGGAGTGGGTTGGTGGGGTGGGTTGGGTACCCCACCAAACCCAAGAAGAGCGGTTGGCTTCACTGCTTTCGTTGGCGAAGCGAAACGTCACCAGCGGTGCACCAATAATTTGCCTTGTGGAAAGTACGACGGTCTCGAAAACGTCATTGCGGTTGGTGGACACGTCGGTGAATTGCTGTGGATGTGATTGGCCGATGTGGTCATCACGGGATTGACAACGTAGCGACGCATCTGGACGTCATTCGTTCGACTCCCCCAAGCATCCACGCGGCGACCTGTAAACGGCAGATTCAATTGGGCAGCTGGTCCACCCACCAGAACCAGCACACCTCCTTGAACCATGGAAGCCACCGCTGATTGGTATCACCGCCAGGACTGCCAGCATGACGGTGATGCGTGAGTGTTGAAACGACTGGTTTGAATAGAACCGTTATGTACATCGCAATTCTCATACTCAACAGGTATGAAGTAATTTGCAACAGCCAATATCACAATGGAAAATGCTGAACTATTGGTGGTTATGTTAGGAAGCATTACTTCCCAACTTCATGATAAAAACGAAATGCTCCAGAATGAGATAATACAATGCAGTTGCTTCGCTTGTTAGTGGGGTCTCAAACTAGGGCTTGGAACCTGAGACAAACACAAAGAAATCAGTACATGAGCAAATAAATGAATGATTGAAACTTACATGGAAATTACCTACTAGGGATGCAGTTTACGATGGTTATTCATGTAACAATCAACACAGAGCATGTTCCTACCTTGATTGCACAATGTCGACCAGCAGAACCCCTTCAAAATTGTAACCTTTGGGATCCAAAATCATGCAATGTGTTGCCTGTGAAGAGGATCTTCTGACCCTAAACGAAAAATCGACAACATAGACACCAAGGACAAAGAGAACAGGATCGGGGTGAGGAAAAGCAGGGAGGGGAATGGTGGGGATGGGAATTGAAAAGCATGAAGCCTGCACTGTAAATTTCAGTTTGGTAAGGTAGACCCGGCAGATGGAGGGAGAAGGATGGAGGGATGGATCATGGAAGTGTATGACATTTGTAGTGTCAGTCTGTGACTGAGCTGAGAGGAGGGAGCGGGAAAAACACAAACGAAAAAAAAAAAGAACAACGAAGAAGAGAAAAAAAAAACAGTGACAGTCTGGGGTGGGGAGGAAAGGGAAGATCGACATTTGCAAACAGAAGGGTGGCGAACAGGGGAGATCGATAGATAGAGCAAGTGGGATAAAGCATCGTGGAGTGGGGAAAGGGCGAAGAGGGAGGGAGAACAAACGATTGCGCCAGAGCAGAATGTTTGTATGAGCAGCACCTGAGCCACTTCCGAACACGACATCTGGGAAAGTATTCCACAACTGCAACCTGCAGTCAAAAGCCCATACCTTATCGTCTGAGCTGAGGCCTTTCCATGAGAGGCATTTTGGAATACAAATCATTCTTAAGAAAGAAGCCCATCATGGAAACCCATAAAAATCAACCCATACCTAATCATCCCAGGCCTCTCCACGAAGGGCGATTTTGAATGCATCGCTCTGAGCATCCTCAAACACCTCCTCTTCCTCCTCGCCCTGGTGATCTCCATAAACCTTTCTATCCTCGTTATCCTCCTCGTCCCCCTCATCCTCACTACCGCTTTCCTCCTCAACCTTGTCCCATTCCGAATCAAATTCCTCCACACAACCCTCCGCAGGTCCCCCAACAGAGATGCTCTCTCGGGCATCCCAAAACTCCTCCTCAGCCCCTTCGGGAGCGATGACAACCCCTGGGACTCCCCCTCCGCTCCCCCCCTGCCCCTCCTCCTCAGCCCCTTCACAAGTGACGACAACTCCTGAGACTCCCCCTCCTCTTCCCGCCTGCTCCTCCTCCTTACGATTCTCCACTTGAGCAGTTGCTGCTGGTCGGGCAGCAACCAGAATCTCTCGAGGCGCAGAAGTAGCTGCAGCCGAAACCTCTCGAGGTGGTGCGGAGGGAATGCGTCTGGGAGCAAGCAGCTTGCGGGCGAGGTTGAGCAATGCTGCCTGGGCGTGCTGAGCAGCTTGGAGAGACCGGGCTTGCAGCCTGCGCACCTGGGACAGCACATAGTGCCGAGTGCTGGTGGGGATGAAATAGAGGGGGGGTGGAGGAGCGGGGGAAAGAGGTATAAATGGGAATCTTGGCTTGAAGAGTCAGGGCTTGCAGCTTGCGCGCCTGGGACAGCACAAAGTGCCGCGTGCAGGTGGGGAGGGAACGGGCTACATCTGAGACGCTTCAGCACTGTTGCGTGGGGGTGGTGAGCGGCTTGGAGGAGGTGGGCTTGCAGCCTGCGCCCATGGGATAGCACATGCATAGTGCCGCGTGCTGGTGGGGAGGTGGGGAAGAGGGGGAAGAGGGGGGGTGGGGGCTACATATGAGATGCTTCAGCACTGTTGGCTGGGGGTGGTGAGCAGCTTTGAGGAGGTGGGCTTGCAGCCTGCGCCCACAGGATAGCACATACATAGTGCCGCATGCTGGTGGGGAGGTGGGATGTGGGGTGGAAGGCGAAAAGGCAGAAATTTGAGATGCTTCGATGTCCGCCTCTCCACATCCCTGCCCGGGTAGAGACGAGCTGGTAGCCTGCAACTGAGAGCGCTTATTGTGCCATGCATCATGCCATGCATCATGCCATGTGACTGTGCCATGTGACTGTGCCATGTGACTGTGCCATGTGACTGTGCCATGTAGCTGTGCCATGTGGCTGTGCCATGTGGCTGTGCCATGTGGCATGTGGCTGTGCCATGTGGCTGTGCCATGTGGCTGTGCCATGTGGCTGTGCCATGTGGCTGTGCCATGTGGCATGTGGCTGTGCCATGTGGCTGTGCCATGTGGCTGTGCCATGTGGCTGTGCCATGTGGCTGTGCCATGTGGCTGTGCCATGTGGCTGTGCCATGTGGCTGTGCCATGTGGCTGTGCCATCTGACTGTGCCATGTGGCTGTGCCACCATTTGCAGAATTTGACACAACAGCCACCTGAGCAGATGTGTGCTCGCAACAGCATTGGAAGAGAGCAAAACCAAGGGCGAGAGCAAGAGTGTGAGAGATGGAGAGAGAGGGGAGAGGGAGGGGGAAAGGAAGAGGAAGAGAGAGAGAGGGAGAGGGAGAGGGAGAGGAAGATTGTGATAAGGAAAAAAAGTCATTCATTTATTTCTACTAGGCGCGAAACAAGATTTGAGTCAAGGGCAATACCTGAGGCGATGTCTGTTAGCAGCAGCTACGAAGGAGCCCACGCCCTTGAATATCCACATGAAGGCTCGGAACAACTGTGGCGAGGGGTGATGGAGGGTGTGGGAGACAGGAAAAGATGAGGCGGAGATAGAGAAGTCAAATGCCAAGAAGGCATTGAAGGAGCCCACGCCCTTGCATATCCACATGAAGGCTCGGAACAGCTGTGGTGAGCGGAGACGGAGGGAGCGGAAGTGGGAGACAGATAAAGAGTGAGACAGGGATAGAGAAAAGAAATGCCAAGAAAGTCAGTGAAAAAGCCCACGCCCTTGAAGATCCACCACACTATGGCTTGGAATAACTGTGGCGAAAGGAGAGAGAGACCGAGGAAGATCAAGGCAGAAATAGAGAAAGAAAGAAAGAAAGAAAGAAAGAAAGAAAGAAAGAAAGAAAGAAAGAAAGAAAGAAAGAAAGAAAGAAAGAAAGAAAGAAAGAAAGAAAGAGGGAGAGTTTGAAGGCATACATATGTAGCACTAGTACAATGCTGATTGTAGCACATTCCTATATCCAGCTTAACAGGCTAAAAAAACAGTTCAAACTCCCTACACATGCCTCTGGGCTCCGAACCCTTGCATGGTATCCTAAACCGTAACCATAAGTAGCCTGTATGTTTCCATGACCGAAAACCAATCCAACTGAGTGAGTCCTTTTTAGCGTGTCTGTTAATCCCACCTTCTGGAAGATGTTGTGCCACATCTGCAGCAGAGAGGTTTTTGAGAATTCTAAAAAATCACTCGCGAGAATTCTCAAAAATTACTCGCGAGAATTCTCAAAAATCACTCGCAAGGACTTTTTCAGCATCTCTGTTGATCCCACCTTCTGGAAGAGGTTATGCCACATCTGCAGCAGGGAGGAGGGCGGCGACCGAGCCACCGCCGAACCTGCAACTGCGGAAACCTGCCCGACTGCCGAACCTGCAGCAGAGATCTGCTGCCCTACAGCCTTGGTCGCCGAGCCTAGCTTCCGAGCCCCTCCGACCAATCGCAGCGAAGAGGTAACAGCCTTGGAGATATAGGAGAAGCGATTTGCCACGGATTTATAGCCGTACGCAAAGGTAAAAGAGACGGCTTTTATGGAGTATGTAATTGGTTGCAAGAGGGTTCTAGACAGGTACACAAGGTGTAGCAAGATGGTATTGGAGAGGTGTGTGAGGTGAAGGGAGAGGGCTTTGAGTGAGGAGGCAAGGGAGAGCGAGAGGGAGTGAGAGAATGAGTGAGAAATGGTGGAGTAGAGGAAGGAGGCGAGCTGCAGCAGCAGGCGGAGCAGCTGTAAGGGGAGCTTGAGGAGAGAGAGGAGGGCGGAGAGGAGAGGCGCGAGGAGGAGTTGGATGAAGTGGAACAGTGGCAGGATGATGGCTCGACCTGGATGATGATGGGGGGAGATGGAGGGAAAGATGGAGGGAAAGATAAGAGCGTTAGACACGGATGAAACACGGTGCATGAAACACGGCAAACAAAACATGGTGCACGGGGACAGGTTACATTTTGAATGAATGATCATTACTCACCTACAGCCCAGAGAGTACGAGCAAGGAGCAGCAGCGGCTGAACAAGCACCCCGAGCAGCCGGCCAAGCAGCAAAACTCGAGTGTACACAAACGACAGCTGAGCTGACAGCAGCTGAGACATTCTCCACACGCTGCTGCTGCATGCTTGTGAGAGGAGGCGATACAGCAGCAGGCAGTTGCTGTGCAGCAAGGACAGGGGAGAAGAGACTAGCGATGACAGCAGCTGTACCAGCTTCAGTACAGAGCAGCTGTAGGCTTGGGAGAGTAGCTGATAGAGCAGCAGACAGCTGTTGGAGATGGATAGTCCAGCGGTGCATACAGCCAGGTAGCATGCATGCAGTAACCGCCACACCGGGACGAGCGTGTGCCGCCCCAGCAGCCACAGGGGACGCATGGTGTAACCGAGTAACCGCCCGCTGCTGGTAACCAGCTTTCCGAGGGCGGATACAAGGTTCCATGCGGTGGAGAGGAGTTTAGAGAGGCAGAGTAGGAAGGCGTGCGAGAGGAGCCAGCAGGGGTGCTGGAAGGGCCGGAGGAGGAGAGAGAGGAGGTAGGAGAGGAGGGAAAGCGCGTGTGAGACGACTTTCCAGGCAGAGGACAGCCACTTGAAGGCCCGTTCCCAGTTCTGCAGAAAGAGAATCGTTCCGAGGTATCTAAGTCTTGTTCCCATGTCCCAGGTTCCTACCACAGACCATATGGGCCCCAGCATCCGAGCCAGCATTTCCTGTAGCACCGGGATGTTCTTATACAGGTCGTAGAAGCCGATTAGCACTGTAACGAGAGAGACTATAAAGCAAGCGTACGCGACGAGCGGGCGCATCCAGGGGCGGTAGAGGGCGGAGAGGCCGGCACAGGATTGGAGGAAAACGGCCCACGCGGGCAGGCCGGATTCTAATTGGTGGAGCAGGCGTTGGTCGGTGGTGATGACGTCAGCAAGGGCGGCAGGGAGGTGCGGGTGGGTGAAGCGGAAGAGGAGGAGGGTGTCCGGGTAGGTGATGGTGGTGGGAGGGGCGCGGAGGGCTGGGAGGAGGGGCTTGGGAGAGGAGAGGAGGGTGGAGGGGTAGGTGAGGTGAGAGGCAGGGATGCGGGTCTGGTGGGGGGATGGGAGGTGGGGTCTGGGGGAGGTGAGGAGGGTGGAGGGGTGAGGGTGGGTGGGGAGGGTGCGGGAAGGAGAGGTAAAGCCTTGCCGTTCATGTTGGTGTTGTTGGTGGTGCTGGTGGTGGTGCTGGTGCTGGTGGTGGTGGTGGTGCTGCTGATGGTGTTGTTGGTGTTGTCCGGCAGAGGATGAGGTGGAGCAGTAGCTTCTGCTATCACCCTCAGTGTCATCATCAGCATCTTCATCAGAGCAGTAGCTTCTGCCATCCATCTCATCATCAGAACTCCCCCTGCCACCACTACTGCCACGACTGCCACCACCGCCACCACTACTGCAACTACCGCAGCTGTCATCAAAAGATTCACCGCTCTCATTCTCCTCCTCCTCGTCCTCCTCCTCCTGCTCCTCCTCACTCTCCTCCTCCTCCTTGTTCTCATCACCATAGCTGTGTGCTTCTCCACCCTCGTCATTATCAGAATCACCATCGCCACTGTCTCCACCATCACCATCACCATCAGCATCATCATCGGCACACACATCCCTGTCCTCGCTCCGGCAGCAGCTGGTGCTCACAAAGAGGCGGCGGGGAATGAGAAGACTGGGGAACAGCTCTTGCGCCACACCGCCATGTACGGTCGCCGCTGACTCTGCCTCTGCTGACTCTGCCTCTGCTGACTCTGCTTCCATAGGATATGCTTCCACCTCGTGAAACACGCTCGACACTTCCCCATCTTCGCCCCTTCCATCACTGACAGTCCGTGCTGATTCCGCTTCCACCTCCTCCCAGCCCTCTGGATCATCCCAGGCCTCTGCGTCCACCTCGTCATACACACTCGATACTACCCCATCCGGGTCCACATCGTCATACACACTTGATGCCAATCCGTCTGCTTCCACGTCATCATGTACACTGGATGCTGCCCCATCTGCTTGCACCTCTCCATACATACTAGATTCCATCTCAGCTGTATCCACGTCATCATGTACACTGGATGCTACCCCATCTGCTAGCATCTCCCCACGCATACAACTAGATACCATCCCTAACGTATCCACGTCATCATGTACCCTAAGTGGTGCCTCTGCCTCCACTTCCTCCCAGACGTTTGGGCTATGACGTGGCTCTGCCTCAATATAATCACATGCACTCGATTCCACCCCATCTGCTTCCACGTCATCATGTACACTGGGCAGCGACTCTGCTTCCACATCATCATGTACGGTGGATCTACTCCCGCTGTACAGCTGGGACTCGTTCTCCCAGCACGACCCATAGCTAGGCTCCACACTAAAGTAAGACTCCCTCTCCTCCGCCAGACCTCCACTCTCGTTCTCTGACAGCCATCTGGCTTCGTTCCCCTCCCGCAATCTCTCCTTCGAAAAAAAACCACTCCCATTCTCAGACACCCATCCAGTCTCGTTTCCTTTCGTGGATCTCTCCGCTGATACATCGCCATCTGCCCCCACCCTGCCACTGCTACCTTTGCAGCATTCTCCCTCTGCTGGTGTGTGGGCGGCAAGCTCGGCGTCTAGCAGGCCCACCTCACTGCACCCCTCTGAAAACCTCTCACTGGAATCGCTCATCCATGCATGCTGGTCCAAACTGGACTGGCTTGTGCCTGCCTGCTGCTGCTGCTGGTAGTGCTGCTGCTGGTAGCGGTGTTGGTGTGGAGGACTGCCAAACTGGGAGCATACAGGAGAGGAGGGGAAAAGGAAGGATAAGGAAGAATGGGATGAGAAGATGTGGAGAGGGAGGGGGAGGGCTGCACAGTTGGAAGCATTCAGGGGAATGGGAAGGGAAAATGAAGAATACGGAATTGTATCAGAAACGGGGAGGGAGGATGAGGTAGGTAAGGGGGGGTTCTATGGAATGTGGACGGGACAGTGAGGGGGACCGAAGGAATCACGGGAGTGGGAGTGGAAGCGCGGGTATGGAGGGACTTCTACCTGCGAGTCTGACAGCCTGCTTCGTGTGCTTTGAAACGCCACCAGCTCCTCTCTTGTTTCAGCATCAGCAGCAGCAGCAGCAGCAGCAGAAGGAGCAGCAGCAGCAGTATCAGCGGCAGGCCGCAGTCTGAAAGGTATTGGAGAGCACGGCGGGGTCTGTGGTTCGTGAAAAGGGGTTTCTCTAGGTTGCTTTTGAGAGCTCCCGAAAGCTTCTCTTGGACTGGCAAAGGGACTGGTGATGCACATCTGGCCTTGCCTGCTCCACAAGCCACTGCCACAAGCAGCTTCAATGCCGGAAGCAGCAGCACGAGCAGCATCAGCACGGGCAAAATCACCAGCAACAGCAGCAGCAGCAGTAGCAGCAGCAGCAGTTAGTCTGCTGCTCGCAGCAAAACTGCTTGCAGTGCTACTGTACACTGCTCCACCAATCCCAGCAGCAGCATCACCACCAAAAGCAGCAGCAGCAGCAGCAGCAGCCCCAAGAGGAGACTTTGGACCTACTCGATTTCCACTGCACGTCCTCCCCCCAATCCAGGGACCAGCAGGCACAGAGGCGTGGGATAGGTTGACCCCGTGCAAGGGCGTGGTTCCATGAGAGGGCGAGGCAGGGTAGAGGCGCAGGGCATGTGCGTGCACCGCCTGTTCAAACGAGTCAAACTCGCGCTTCACCACTCGCGTCACCTCCATCGCCAGATTCGCTTCTGCCTGGCGCATGGAAAAGGGGTGGGAGGAGTTGATGTGGGGTGTCTTTGAGTCGGCTAAAGGATGGAATTATGAGACGGGCTGCTGGTATCTTCTGAGTCAACTCAAGATCCTAACTCGCGCTTCACCACTCGCGTCACCTCCATCGCCAGATTCGCTTCCGCCTGGCGAATGGAAAGGGGCGAGAAGGGTTGTTGTGGGGGTGCGGGGGGCGTGAGCAGAAAGTGAGAAGCAAAGGGCAAGGCTGGGCTAAGGTTGGGCCAAGGCTGGTCGATGGCGGGACTAACGCTGGCCTAAGGCGGGCCTGCCAGACGCTTGGATGGCCTTGCCTTGCACAAGTCGAAGTGACCGGACAGAACCGGGTTCGTTCTTCTCACACCTGCAGAACGCACCTGCAGTTCGTTCTCGTATCTAAGCCCACGCACGTCGCTCCAGCTGACTTCAAGGGTGACGCAGCCGCACAGGCCGTGAGGCGGCGGGTGCAGATGCGAGAGCGCCCTGCGCCTGGCGTGCAGGCGGCGCACAAAGGCGTCCAGCGACCTTCACTTCACCCTCTTGTGCCGCCCACTGCTGCTGCCTATGCCCCCGATGCTGCCTCCTCCGCCACCACTGCTGCCACTTCCTAATTTCGGAGTTCTGCAATGAAATGTCACAGGATAAAGAAGAGAAGCAGCATGCGGAACGAATGAATGGGAGGTGACATTTTTGGTGATCAAAGGTGTGCAGCAGCGGCCTCTGCTCCACCCTCTCCTATGACTCGCACCGTCAGTGTGCGTGGTATTCCTGCAGAAGGAGCACTGCAGCGCCATTGTCTTGCCAATAGATTGATTCGTTGATAGCCTCTTCGATTTGCAGCCTAGACCAGATTCTTCTACATTTCAGCTCGTGTCCTCCCACCGACCTGCAGAAGGAGTCCTCCAGCGCCATGATCCCGGGACGAATTTGATTTGCTATAAGGGCGTATCCAACTTCGGGTCATGAGCACTGTTCCGGGCATCCGCAATTTGCGGATGACCCAAACAACATAAAACGCCACTTTGGGTCCTCCGAACTCATGCGACCCCCAAAGAGCCGCGAGGGTTTTCGCGCCAAAATCACGCTCCCCACAACAGTCGCATCCAATGGAAGGATGCCTAAACAGTTCGAACGATCCTTAGCGAGACCACGCGAAACCCACCGAAAAAACACAATCGTCAAAATTCCCGGCGTGAATCCCCAAATGTTGGGAGCGCGACGCGGGAAATTTTGGACACACTCATGGTCACTGGGGTCAATTTGCCGAGTGGTTGGGTGCAGAGGTGTAAGACGTGGGACATTGCCCACATGTGACACTCAACTGACGACCGCCTAAAACTGGCAGTAAATACAGAATCGTGCAGCCAGGTGATTGGTTGGGGGTGGGTCGTGCACGTCAGTCGCCCAACACCTGCACATTGACCCAAAGCTGGGGCCGCGCGCGGCTCGGCAGCCCACTTCGGGTCATGCGCAAATTCCGCATGACCCAAGCAGTAGCCAGAACAGTGCTCATGACCCGAAGTTGGATACGCCCTAAGTCTCTTCGATTCCCAGCCTACATTTTTTCAACATTCGGCTCATATCCTCCCACTGACCTGCAGAAGGAGTCCTCGAGCGCCATGATTTCGCCCAGCAGGCGGTCCATGAGGCTGTTGTTCGCGAACGGCGAGTCGTATCGCGGCGCCTGGAGTCCACGGGAGGGGGGGGAAGACACTTGAAACCCGAGTGGCAAAAAGGAACCTGATTGATAGAACAATGTGGGGAGTGGGCAAACGACGAATGATATCAATAATTCCTGTGCCGAGGAGGAACTGAGGTCACGGAAAGAGCATCCTAAATCTGTTTTAACATAATCCAGCGTGGACGAATCATCATATAGTGCTTTCTTTCGCGTTTTCCGCCTGACTCCAGCTTTCCTATCACGAGGAATCTGTCATTCCCGTGGAGTCCAGGCTGACCTTGGAGAGCAGCTGCCATAGTCCGGCATCTTTCCCGCTGCTGCGCTTGGGACACCACGGGCTGTTCACGAAGAACACCAGCTGGCCCGCCTCCTTGGCGATGTGCACCGAAAGAATGGACCCCTTGGACGTCTTCCGCCTGCCAGCACCATGAAAATTGGCCGTAAATTAACAGTGAAAGAATAAGTTCACTTATTGTCTGATTAACCGTAAGATTAACGGCGACTTGATGAATGGACCCTTGGGGAGAACCTTCCGCCTACCATCACCATGGATTCCAGCAGACTTTTGAGTCGACTCGAAAGTCACCTTCCGACTACCATCACCATGGATTCCAGCAGCGGTAGTTATCATCGGACATCAGCTTTCTCCCTAATCGACAGTGTGATGAGGCAAGGCATTTTCGACGCCGATTTTTGAACGAATCGGCTCGCGAACATTAACCGCTGAGCCAAGCGTGTACCCATCAGCAGCGAAAAGAATTTGGACCCGCACGCACTCAGCTGGTAACATCAGACCGTTACCTGGTAACCGGGACCCTGCTCCCAATGCTCTATGTCAACACTACAGCAGAGCTCTTACCCTATTTGTAGGGAAGTGATTGGATAGAGAGGCAGAGAAATGCCAGTTCCTGCCTCCTCAAGCTCAGCCATTTAGAGACGGAGAGGTAAGGCCAGCGATGAACCAATGAGCCTACGCAACTCAGCATCAGAGCTCGCTCCCTGTCATCAGTCAGCATTCATGCGACAAGCTACGTTCTGATGATAGATAGATGAGAGCTAGAAAGATGGTTGAACTTGAGCCATACGGATTTGCTAAACAGCCATAATCGACCATAACTCAAATGACTTCAAATCGTCAGGCAGGCGGACCTAGTTGGCCAATGGTCAGGCATTACCGATGGGGTGATGACACCGAGGGTGCTGTCAGTAACGGCGAAGATGAAATCGTTCGTTGAATGGACGGACATGATTGCAACCTGAGGTTCAAATGATGTGTTTTCGTCCTGGGAACTGGTTTCAAGCGTGGCTTGGGTGGTCTGGAATCTGGCGGGACGGGGGAGGTGTGAGGGGAAGGGAGAGGAAGGGCAGCGGGAGGGGGCAGCGGGAGGTGGAGGAGGAGGATGCTGGCAGGCAGCAGAAAGTCAAGCTTCCGTTGCGCTGATCGCGCTAGCGGAACGCGATGGTGAGAGGTGTGTGCCTGCCTGGACCAGGGATCACGCAGATCTTCCCTTCCCATGGTTGGTTGGGAAGAATCATGGTCAGAAAAAACGCGATAATGACTTCTTCGATCTAGGTACGACACAATGAGATGAAATACGAAATACAACTTACATGGTAAAAGTTATGATAATGTGCGAAAATGATTCCCACTACAGTGACACCACCTCACAGAGACACTGGTCGGAGACGAATTCCGCAACAGACCAGCCATGGCCGTCGCATTCCCCACCGCAATGTGCGGAGCTCCTAGCGCAGCTCCCTGCTATGGCTCGTCTTTTCTCCCCGGATTCAACCCCTCCTCCAACTGGTCTTTTCCGCGAACCATTTTCACTCTCAACTCTCCCCTCTCGCATCCCCATAGAGCTCGCCACGTCAGCAGTTTTCGTGGCCCCGTATCAAACGATTCCGTGTCTTATTCCAGCGCAGGAGGAAAGAAGCAGTATTTATTTAGCGCGAATGAGGTGAAGAGAATAGCTACTGCCATTACCCCAACGATCAGCACCCAGAATCCTGCAGGTACTAATCAGAGACGGGGGGTAGCTTGCGCAGCGGCGGCGCCGCGCGGGGGTGGCAAGGCGGGGAGTGGAGAGGCCGCGCGGATGGTGATGGTGCTAGGGAAGGGCGGCTCGGGAAAGACGACTGCCTCCGTGCTGCTCGCCCAGGTGAATTGCTGCTCGCCCATGTGAATTGCTGCTCGCCCAGGTGTATTGCTGCTCGCCCAGGTGAATTGCTGCTCGCCCATGTGAATTGCTGCTCGCCCAGGTGAATTGCTGCTCGCCCAGGTGAATTGCTGCTCGCCCAGGTGAATTGCTGCTCGCCCAGGTGAATTGCTGCTCGCCCAGGTGAATTGCTGCTCGCCCAGGTGAATTGCTGCTCGCCCAGGTGTATTGCTGCTCGCCCAGGTGAATTGCTGCTCGCCCATGTGAATTGCTGCTCGCCCAGGTGAATTGCTGCTCGCCCAGGTGAATTGCTGCTCGCCCAGGTGTATTGCTGCTCGCCCAGGTGTATTGCTGCTCGCCCAGGTGTATTGCTGCTCGCCCAGGTGAATTGCTGCTCGCCCAGGTGAATTGCTGCTCGCCCAGGTGTATTGCTGCTCGCCCAGGTGAATTGCTGCTCGCCCAGGTGAATTTCTGCTCGCCCAGGTGAATTGCTGCTCGCCCAAGTGAATTTCTGGTCACCTAGGTGCCAGCTTACAGTCTCAGAAGTGGCATTCTGGCTGTTGCCTCTGGTGGAATTCTGTTGCCTCAGGTGGGATCATGTTCCCCCAGGTGGGATTCTGTTGCCCCAGGTGGAATTCTGTTGCCTCAGGGAGGATTTTGTGGTCTCGCCCTAGACTGAACGAGACCTCTCTGTGTGGCCTCACTTCCCCCATTCCTCTCTCCTTCCCGCTACCATACCCAGCGGTATGCAGCAGCGGGGTACCGCACATGTCTGGTGGTGCAGTCTCAGGACCGAGTGGCCGACAGGCTGCTCGGCATGCGCCTCACACCCACCCCCCAACCCGTGCCCGCACCCGCTGCTGCTGCTGGTGATGCTGCTGCTGCGGACGCTGCCTCCCAGACGTCGCTGCTGTGTGCTCTCCGTGTGGAAACCACCAAGGTACGGAAGCCTCAAGATTTGAATCCTTATTTAGTGGTTGAAACTCCACATGGGCTTGCACTCTCCCTCGAGTGAAATGCGATGAGGTGATGTTTCGGTCAATTCAAGAAAAATCTCTTGACTTCTCTTCTCCCTTCCCTGCTTTGCTTCCTTTCTCTTTTCCTGCTTCCCCTCCCTTCGCTTTCAAGTGCTGATATTTTCATTAGCGCTCAAGCGAGTATTGACATTTTTATCATGTAGCGCGTTTCTTCTGTGCGCCTCTCCCCTTTCCCATGGCTCTTCCCCTGTCAGCTGCTATTGGCTCCTCTTGAGGTTATAAAGAAGGCGGACGAGCGGCTGGGGATCACACAGGGCGCACTGGCAGAGGTGAGGGTGGTTGTACGAGTGTGTGTGTGTGTGTGTGTGAGTGCTGGTGAGGGTGATCATTCAGCATGTTGTTTCTTACTCACTATGGTGTGATTATACGCGTTACGTTATATGAGCACATTCGGGATCGTCAACCACACCACACCCGACCCACAACCCATGAAAGGTTGTGGGTGAGGTGAGGAGAGCTCTCCTGGTGGAGGAAACAGAGCAGGGCACCCACCCACCCCACCACCCACAGTTGGAGTCGTAACCACAACCTCACACCCACACACACACACCCGCGGCAGGTGGTGGGGGAGGAACTATCTGTCCTACCAGGAATGGACGCTGTCATGGCCGTCACAGTTCTTGAGCGCATCGCTCGTCCAGCTGGCGGCCTCCTGGCCTTTGCCACGTCATCGGGGCCGCGGTCCGCGTCAGCAGGAAAGAAAGGCGCGGCCTCGGGGGAGTGGGTGTACCCGTGGGGGGAGGAGGAGGCGGAGGTGGTTGTATTTGATGGACCCACCACGTGGGAGGTGCTGCGAATGCTGGCCGGCCCAGAAAAGAGCAGGTGAGGTGCGGTTCAATGCGGTGGAATGTGGTGATATGCGGTGATGAGCAGTGCAATGTGGTTAGCAGGGAAGAAAAGGGCAGCAGCAGCAGGAGGGGTAATGGGTGTACCCGTGGGGGGAGGAGAAGGCGGAGGTGGTGGTGTTTCATGGACTCACCACGTGGGAGGTGGTGCGCATGCTGGCCGGCCCGGAGAAAGCCTGGTGCAGCGCGGTTGAGTGCGGTTGAGTGCGGTGGAGTGCGGTGGAATGTGGTGGACTGTGATGAAGTGCAATGCAGGAGTGTGGTATACAGGATGATGGACGAACGGGGGAGGCGGAGGTGGAGGTGTTTGATGGACCCACCACGTGGGAGGTGCTGCAGATCCTGGCCAGCCTAGAGAAGAGCAGGTGAGGTGTGGCTGTGTGTGGTGGAGTGCAGTGGAATGAGATTCCCTTCAGACCCATCTTAACCCAGCTTAAGCCCTCCCAAACCCAACCCCAACCCAATCCAACCCATCCGAACCAGGTGGTATCTGAGGCGGTTCCGAGCGGACAGACATCGGCCCCTTGTGGCACTAGCCCCTTCCAAACCCATCTAAACCCCATTCAACCCATCTGTGCCAGGTGGTATCTGAGGAGGTTCCGAGCGCTGGCAGAGCGGACAGACATCGGCCGCGTGGCCCTGCCCTCCGTAGCTCGCCTGCTGGACTCCATCGTGGGCTCCTCCAAAGGGGGTAGCGGGAGTAGCAGCAGTGGGAGTGGGAGTGGAGGGGAGGATGGGCAGCGCAGCACGGCAGAGATATGGGAGAAGCTCGACTCCTTCCTCTCTGTGAGTAGCGAGACCTACTGGCCGTGTGGCTCGGCCCTCCGTGACCCGCCCGCCTGCCGGGTTCCATGATTGGCTCCTCGTCGTAAAGGGGAAGTGCTTCTGGTGGGGGTGGGAGTGGGGAGGAGGCCCCGCAAAGTGCTGCTGCTGCCTGCTGGACGCCTACAATACGGGAGAAGCTGCTCGACTCCTTCCTCTCTGTGAGTGAGCACAGCTGTGGCGTTTTGCACTGTGATGTGATGTGTGGCGTTTTGCACTGTGATGTGATGTGATGTGATGTGATGTGATGTGATGTGAGGGCCGTATGGCTCTGCCTTCTGTGGCCCGCCTGCTCGACTCCATCGTAGGCCGGACCCTCCCAAGGGGACGGTGCTGGGGGTGCCCACGAGGGGCAGGTACTGGTGGTGGGGGGGTGCTGCCGCTGTTTGGATTGGGGTGAACGGACAGCACAGAACAGCAGAGATTTGTCAGACCCTCCCCCTCCTCTTCTCCGTGAGTGTTGTTTGAGTCCAAGATATATCGGAGTGTAATGAGTCGAGTTTTGAGTAGACTCAAAACTCGACAACACAGAACAGCAGAGGTGTGTCAGACTCTCCCCCTCCTCTTCCCCGTGAGTGTTGTTTGAGTCCAAGATATATCGGAGTGGCTTTGAAGCTTCTGCGAGTGGGCAACACATGCAACACACTGATGCCGCCCTTCGTTGCTGCTACCTGCTTCTGATCCCATTAAGTTTGTCAAACCCCCTCCTCTGATCCCATCCGCTCTTCTCCTTATTATGCTAAATTCTTCCCATCTAATCTCTCCCCTCTCCTTGTCTTCCCCGCCTCCCACCCCACCTGCCCCTCCCAACCCCTCAGAAAGCCGTCTCAGCCTTTGCCGACCCCTACCGCACGTCTGTCTTCCTATTGGCCGACACAGCGAGCCACTCATCAGTCGACACGTGTCGCCGCATCTGGGGCTGCGCAGTGCAAGCAGGCGTGTCCCCTTCAGGCGTCTTCCTTCTCCCATCGGACGTAGCATCAGAGGGACTGGCAGAAAAGTTTTCTCCGCTGCCCGTGGCAGAGCTGCCCGTGGTATCAGAGGAGGCACCGGCGGCTGTAGCGGCCGCGGCCGGGCAGATGAGCGACGGGGCAGTAGCGGTTATGAACGGGGAAGGTGTGGGGAAGGCTCCTCCGGCCGTGGACGTGGACGTGGCAGCATGCACGGTTCGTCTGTTTCTGCCGGGATTCGACAAGCAAGAGGTCAAGCTGCAACAGGTGAGCCTGTTTGGTTCTTGAACATATTTTCACCAAGGCTCAAGATATCCCCTCCTCTTATGTGGATTTCCTCCCTTATCCTGGTTGACTCTCAATGACCAACGCTTTGGGGGTTAGACAAGTAAGAGGTTGAGAAGCAGCAGGTGCGTCCGTTTGGCCATGAGATGCGTTTTCACCGAGGCTGATTGCCTGTTCTTGAACATATTTTCACCTCAAGGATCAACGTGTTTTTTTCCTCTCGCATGACATTCTACACCAAGGCTGATTGCCTGTTCTCCCCCCTTCTACTCCCTTCTCTCCTCTGCTCCCCTTATTCCCCTCTGCACCAAACAATCAACAGTGGTCTAGGCAGAGCTGCTGGTATAGGCGGGGGACCAGAGGAGGTGTGTGGTGTGGAGCTTTTGAGAATTCTCAAGAGCTGCTACTACAGCAACGTGCTGATTGCCCTGCATTCTCCTCCCTCCCATCTTGCGCATCCTCCCCACACATCCACAGTGGAAGGGCGGGGCAGAGCTGCTGGTAGAAGCAGGGGACCAGAGGCGGTGTGTGGAGCTGCCCCAAGCCATTCAGGGGAAGGTGATCGGGGCGAAATTTGACCCCGCGGGATTCCTTATTATTACGCTCAAGCCTGCAGCAAAGTAGCACACGGGACCTGCTCCTGCACATGGTTGCGTAGATGTGAAGCGTCATCAATCTGCGGCAGTTGTTGGAGTTTTGACTGGTGAATAAGTCACTTTCAAGCATGTGCTAGGTTGGAGATGCAAGGGGCATGGGGCAGAAGGGGAAGAGGATTGGCTTCCATTTCCTACCAGCAAAATCTATTTTTCCCCATTCGTCTTCCCCAAAGCCAGATGTCCCGTAATTTAATTAAACCAGGTACCATTGTGCTTCATGAGAGAATAAATGCGGCAGCTTTTTGCAACTCCCATGTAGTAAACAGTTATCCTATTTCATCTCAAGGTGAATACGATTGCGAAACTTTTGACCTTCAAACGAAGCATCCCGTCAACGAAAATCCTTTGGTCTGTCGCGGATTTCTGCTGGTTGGCTGGTTCTGTTGCTCCCCCCACCCCCACCCACCGTCAAAAGGAAACCACAGCACCGCACCGCAAATTCTCTCACCTGCTGTAGCCGCCGACTATGCTTCAGGTCCACCGCTCTCCAGAAAGAAACCCCGCGTGCGATTCGGCAGTAGTAGATTAGCCAATCAGAGGCACGCAATCCGCGGTCCGCGCTGAAATTCCCAAAATTTTAGCAACACCAGCTTCGTGCAAATTGAGCAGCCCCACCCCATCCGCTCTCTCGGAAAGATATAAATCGAGCACCAGAAATTCATTTGAGCATCAGCTAGTAAACATCGCAAATCAGTCTCGGCATTCAACTACTAACTACCACATCAACACGCTCACAGACGTTGCGGCCTTCCTTTCTCAATTCATAATTACGCGCTACTCACTGCGCCTCTCGTCTCGTTACGTGCCATATTCCGAGAGCCTGTCCGAGATCGCTCACCAGTTAGCACCTCTATCAATAGCTCTGCGTAGATCACCTCGTAGTAGCTCGAACATCGTCATGGCACGCACTGCAGCTCCTTCCACGCTGGGGCTTGTCACTCTGCTCGTCACAGGTGAGCCACCTCCGCCGGCGTGTTTGCAAACCGTGGGCTTTCAGCTCTGAACTAATCACTTTCATCGGATGAAATCAATTTCCAAGTGCTTGCAAATCGTCCTCAAAAACTCATCTCTCCTCCTGTTTTCAATGACTGCAGTTCTTTTGGCAGCACAACGAGTCGAAGCGGGCCGGTTTCTCCCCAGCGCCGGCAATCTTCCCACCAACCGTCTTCCACCCAGCTTGAATTCAGCCGTCGCGGCGGCAGGCGCAGCAGCCAGCAGCAGCAACCCCGCAGCAGCGCTCAAATCGACGCTCTCAGGCCTCCAGTCGTCCCTCAACGGCCAGATTACGTCTCTCGACGCGCTTCTCAAGAAATCGCTCGAGAAGATCTCGGCAGCTCTCAAAAGCAGCCCGTCAGCTGCAGAAGACGCGCTCCAGACGCAGATATCCACGCTAAAAGCCAACCTCGCTGCTCTAAACGAGAGCCTCGTCAATCTGAAATCGCTGAACAACTCAGGATCGGATCTGAATGTCACGGATTTTATTTCCTCCCAGATCTCCGGGATTCGATCAAACATTTCCTCCATCAGCACCGGCATCGCCGCTTTGAACAAGGACCTGGACGGGATAATCGGCTCGCGCGTAGGCTCGGGGGTAGGCTCGGGCGCAGGCTTGGCGGGCGCGTTGCGTCCAGCAGCCGGGGCGGCTTCCACGAGTGGGAGCGCGGCCATCCGCGCGGCGGTGAGGCAGCGGCTGGCGGCTGTGACGCAGCGAGTGGCGGGGCTCAACGGGAACGTGTCCGCCCTCGTCGGAATGGTGACCGACTTGCACAGCGCGCTGAGCAGCGCTCTGGATGGCGCTCTGGATGGCGCTCTGAACGACGCTTTGAACGGCGCTCTGAATGGGGGCGGCGGTGTGAGCGGCGGCGTGGTGGGGAATCTCGCGAATCTTCTGCCCCAGCAGGCGGGCATGCTGCGTGCCGTGCTGACGTCATGCAATGGCCTGCTGTCTCTCCAAGCCGGCGCTGCTGACATTCAGATCCTCAAGATGTGAGTTGACTCGCGTTGAGTCGTGCTCACTCACGTTGACCCACTGTCCAGCAGTTTCCCTACCACCAGGCTTTCTTATTTGTTTTTGCTCTACACCATTCCATTGTAAACATTGGTCCCTATCTCATTCTAATTCTCCTATCCTCCTCTCTGCTACATTCCTTTCCCCCAATGCAGTGGCTCAGACTACATGCTCACATACTACCTGTACGTAGCAGGAGTGACCAAGGCCCCGGACTCGCAGGCCATTGTCAAGGGCAGCGCCTGCGGCACCGCTGCTGCTTCAACAGCCCTGGCCCTGCCTGGCACGTGGGTGCCCATGAGCCCTGTGTCGTGGTCGTTGGCCAATGTCGTCAGGGCGTCCGCTGCTGACGTGGCGGATGTGCTGGCGTGGATCCAAGGGATCACCAATGATGACCTGTACATTGGATTCTCAGGGGAAAATGGGACACTGTCAGGGAGAATGATGGGTGGAAGGGTGTGACTTGTACTGCATTTCAACAAGGACGGTGGAAGATGATGGGGGTGGTGGGGGAACATTGCAGAAGCACCGCTCACGTGTGCAGCTACACTAGTAAATACGTGCAGCTGGGTAGTGCAGACTAGGCTAGAATGCTTTTGTAATGTTCCATCCATCAGCAAGGGTTTGCTTCAATGATATTAAAGTTGCTTGCTGGAAGGACAAACACTACCAGCAGTAACAACGACGCTCACATGCTTGTGCGAAGGGCCCCACATTCACAGAAATACGGTAACTCAATCTGACCATCTTGATCGTTGATTCTAGGTCACGTTGTGAATCAGTGTCAACCTGCTAAGGCACCAACGCGGCTAATCTGGGAAGACCAAATGCAGACTGAGAGTTGAAACTTTGAAGTGTGACGGGCTGCTGCAGTAGTGCTTGGAGCAGTATCCTCCCCCATCCCCATCCCCACACTCTCCATTGATCACCAACTATGGCAGCAGAGAATGTACCAACCGCGGCCGCATCAGGAGAAGCAGCAGCGGCATTTTAGTGACAGCATGTCAACGGCAGCACTCACGCAGGGTTCCCATCAAAGACCACCAGCTGTGGCAGCAGGGAAAGAACCAGTTCCCGATACCCATCCCACTGACACACAGGATTCCCCGTCAAATCAAGCACTGCCACCTGGCGCAGCCCGCCTAGGCACTGCAGCACCGCCCACAGGTTCGGATGCTGCCGAACCAGATCCATAGTTGCAGCTGTTGCTGCTTCGCCAGCAGCTTCGGCAGTAGGTTCGGCAGGTGAAGGACTTCCTGTCCTACTGGTAGCCATACAAGAACCTTCCTTCCCCGTGCCGTGACTTTATGTGTGACTTTGTGTGTGACTTGGTGTGTGCGAAGGGGGGAACCGGTTGCATCAGGGAGAGGGGTGGCAGTAGCGGTGGCGGTCGACTGGTTTGCCTCCCAGGAGGTTGTGGGCGAGGGAGAGAGCGCGGAGGGAAGGGAGGTGGGCGAGAGGGGCGATGGCTGAGGAGAAGGCGATGCGGTTGTGAGAGAGGTCTAGGACTTGCAGATTCTGAAGCACCTCGAATCCTGGTAGGGTGGGAAGGGAGACGATGGGAGGGGAGGTGAGATTAAAAAAGGAAGTGTCGCACGTGTCGCGTCGCGTCCTACCCGTCCCGTCGCGTCCTACCTCCCCGTCGCGTCGCGCCCTACCCGTCCCGTCACGCTGTGCCCTGCAAGTCCCGTCGTGCCTACCCTGCCGTCGCGTCGCGCCCTACCCGTCCCGTCGCCACCCCCCCCCCCTGCCCGTCCCATCGCGCCCTGCCCGCCACGTCGCGCCCTACCCTGCGCGCCCCACCCGTCACGCCCTCCCTGTCATGCCTTGCGCTCTACCCGTCGCGCTTGTGACGCCCTGCCTCTTGTGCTCCTAGCGCCCTGCCTGTCGCGCCCTGCTCAGACCTTCTAGGCGGTTGGCAGCCGTAGCTCCCTCCCCTCCGCATTAGCTATGGCGGCGCCTAGGGTCCTGCGCTTTGATGCCGAGGGTAGGCCGCTGGAGTTCTCTATCTGGATTCTCTGTGCGTAGCGCCTGCTAGAGAGTCAGTGTCAGGCTGACGAGTCCCTCTGGGCGCACGCCTCCGGTGACCTTCTTGCGCCCTCTGCTCCTGAACCCCTGGGCGTTGACCCCACCACTGTGGATACGGAGCGTTTTGCACGTCAGCGCGCTGCAGCCTGGAAGTCACGCGATGCCGCGACCTGCATCGCCCTCAGCAGCCTCCTCCCTGAGTCTGAGGAGACCCACTTCACCCAAATTCTCACTGCTAGCGAGTTCCTGACTGCGATCCAGGCCCGCTACTCCACTCCCACCACTGTCTCTCTTGGTCGCCTGTTCCTCCCGTTCTTCTTTCCTGACCTCGTCTCGTTTGAGTGTTCTGCTGACTTGATTGCTCACATGCGTTTGCTGGATTCTAGCTACCGCGCTGCCTGCACTGACGCACAGCTTGCACTGCTCCCCCCCCATGGGGATTACTATTTATTTTATCGTCACTAGCCTCCCTGACCGCCACAGTTCGCGACACGCTTCTTCTGAAGCACCCTAGCGAGCTCACTATCGAGGTCCTTGAGTCAGCACTCAAGGACGTCGAGAGCAACCTCCGCTCGGTAGCCTCCGCCTCTGGCGCTGTCCCCCCCCCACTGTTCTACGGGTGCATTGACCCACAGCTGCCCACCTTTACTGCCTCCCTCGCCGCTACCACTACTGATGAGACCGCGGCTACTGTCACGCCTTTTGCGCAGTCTAGAGTTAGGAGTGGCAGTAGGGGCGGCTAGGGTGCGGCCAGCAGCGGAGGTGGCGTGGCGAGTGGCGGTGGCGGGAGTGCAGGTGTTGGTGGAGCGCCTCGTGCAGCTTCTAGTGGCTCCCCTGCTACAGCTGGTGGAGGTGACGCTCGTGTTCGTCGGGCGCCTGCTGGGCTGCCATCTGCAGGTGGTGGAGTGGCGGCCTGGTACCTCGCTTAGCAGCAGCAGCGGCAGCAGCAGCAGCAGCAGCAACAACCACAGCAATAGCAGGGGCACTAGCAAGTTCAGGCACAGGGGTCAGGACCGCGTCAGCTGTCGCGTGGTGACGCTCACCCACCCTGCCCCTACCTTATCCAGACAGGTACTCGCAGTGGCCTCCGCTGTGACCGCCGTCACCCACCGGGTCAGTGCTTTGCTCAGCTCACTAACAGACTTCGCGCGGCCTACGGCGTAGACGGCCCTGCCCTTAACCAGCTTCCCCTTGTTCTCTCGCACGGTCCCACATTGTGGGACATGTCTGCTTCTCATTTACTTGAACTCCTTGGAACTGCAAATGCTATGTATGCTGTTGTTGACTCTAGTGCTTCTGGTTTCGTTTGCTCGCGTGTTTTAGCTTAGGTGCTAATGTTGATCCTGTGCTAGTTGCTAGTGTAGGTACGTGCTTAGGTACTCGTCCAGGTGCTACTCTGGCGGACGCTTCGCTGTTTTTCACCCTGGACTCCGGAGCCTCGCAGTGTTACTTCTGCGACCACACAACTCTTACTCCGCTTCCTTCGCCAGTCTCTATTGTACCGGCTGATCCCACTTTGGGACCAGTCATTGCTCACCACTCTACTATGCTTCCGTGCCCAGCTTCTCCCTCAAGTTCTCTGACGGGCTTCCACGTCCCCTCGTTCTGTAGGAACTTGGTGGGCGTGCGACCGCTCGTGAGTCAGCACGTTGGTGTATGGCTTGAGCCTTCTGGGGACTCTGCGACCTGTGTGGACGGTGACACGTACGCCCCCCTGGCTACCTTTCACCAGGATCCGGGTTCTGGTCTCTACACGCTTCACACTGGCCCCGGGAAAAGGCAGCAGCTGCACCAGCTGCTACCTCTGACCCCTATCATTGCCCTTCGTCAAGTCCCAGCATCCCACCAGGTTGCTGCGTCCCACCAGGTAGCTGTTTGTGGTCAGGTCGCTGATTCGTGCAATAGCACACACACGTAGACACGCTCTCGTGCACTCGCGCTGTCGTGCACTCTCGCTGTCGCGCACTTACGCTGACGGGCACTCGCGCTGTCTCGCTCTCACGCACTCGCGCCTTGCAGCCCTTGTGTTGAGGGTCGGTTGCGCGCCACCCCTCACCCCTCCTTCCTTCGTTTGGCCACCGAGCCCTTCGAGACTCTCCACTTGGACGTCTGGGGCCCCGCCTCTCGCCCTGGCCCTGAGCGAGAGAGTTTCTTTCTGGTGGTCGTCGACGACTACTCGCGCTACACCACCGTTTTCCCTTTGGCGAAGAAGTCCGACGTGACTTCTACGCTGATCCGGTGGTTGCTCACCATAGAGGGTACTCGTCACCATTGTGTCAGTTGTCTTCACTCCCACTCCCACTCCTGCTCCGCCGGTACAACCCCGTCAGGTGTGTCACATGCCCCCCCCCCCCCCCCCCCCCCTTGGTAGCCCCTCAGGTCCCGTCCCCTTCTCTGCAGTCCTCCTCACAGTCACCGCAACAGCCGTCAGCACTTCCTCCACAGGCTGCTGTAGACCCTGAGGGTGCTGGTGTTCGTGGCGCGGGCCTTGGAGGTGCTAGTTCTGGGGGTGCTGGAGTTGGAGCTGAGACCGTGTTTCCAAGAGGTTCTAGTTTTTGGGGAGTTGGTGTTAGTCGAGCTGTCCCTGGGGGTGCTACGACTGGGGGTGCGGGTGCGCCCTCTGCTGGACCTGGAGAGCCTGGGACTGGCCGCGTTGCTGCTGGTGGTGCTGGCTCTGGGGGTGGTGTGACTGGTACTTTAGATGGCGGTCCTGGGGCTACCACCGCTCCGGACACTACTCCTCCCCCCACCCCTTCCCGACCCGACACCAGGCCCTTCTTCGCCGTGCACGTGAGGAGCAGCTGGAGTTGGAGCGAGAGAGGCTAGCGTTGGAGCAGCATCACCTGGAGCTACAGCAGCTGGAGCAGCAGCAGCAGCAGCAGCAGCCGCAGCAGTAGCCGCCGCAGCAGGAGCAGAAGCAGCCGCCACGGCAGGAGCAGCAAGAGCAGCA